GATAGAGAGAGAGAGAGAGAGAGAGAGAGAGAGAGAGAGCATCAAAAACATAGTGTAGTTTTGATGATTGATAGCAAAAGAGTGACTCGTTTGTAGGGCAGAAGAGATGGTGAGTCGTGTTTAGCAGCGAATTGGCAAACGAAACACTGTATGCCTGATAATGTCTGATATGATGGCACTGTAGGCAATGTATAGACTTTATGCCACTCTTTAACACCGGCAAAGATATATTAAAGATATGAGACATATTTACAGAGCACAGGCATCAACACTATCGACAGAGTGGCTCATAATGTGGACACAGAGATAGTTAATGTGGCATATCGTGGATCATATCGTTGTGAATGACTGGCAAACTTTGCAAACCATACATACACTCCAACACAAGCTCTTAGTTCTTAGCGACTAATATATAGTAAGCTATAGTTTACGAACAATTGGTTTCTTCTCTTAATTAACTCATCCATAACGAGAGCAGACATTACTTTTATATGAGAGACACCCGTACTCTCTATCTCTATCTCTCTCTATGTGCTATCCTTTCAGCCTCTTTATTATCTGGTGTTTGGATCTCAAGCTATGATTTAACACATATTATGTGCGAATCTGTTGTATTTTCTTATTATTGTTTGAACTCTTTTTTGTAGTCTTAGTGTTAATACAAATAAGAAAATATATTACTTTTGTTGTGAGTTTGGGTCACAACTCATGCAATAAATACTATTTCAAATCATTCTTATATTTGGCATTAAATTCGATAAGATTTATGAAACTTTGAAGACTTGAAAATCCGTGGGTTTTATAACCCAAAGAGAATTTGAAACAACAAAAAATATATCAATAATATAGAGAAGAAAGAATCGAAAGATTGAAAATTTAATATATATTTTCTTTTGTTGTATTTTCTTATAATAAAGAATTTATACCTCAATAGAGACCAAGAATAACGAGAAGTTCAGTCCAAAAGAGGAGATCGTTGTGTAAAATAAAGTAGTTTTCTGTTGAAAGTGAACAATACTCGCATCAAATGCATTGCCATCGCATCCAACATATCATTCAAAAGTATGGAAAACACTTGAGTTTCAATGCTTTTCTTCTTGCAATCATTAATATTGAACACAATTTCACAAAAATATTATACAAAAAGTACTTTTTATTACAAAATGAGTGAAATATATATATTATTTTGCGTTAAGAATGCAAACACATATGAACTGAGAGTCTACTGAATGGAGTGTACGGTATATATGATATGAAAAGACTTATTGAGACGCGAATGAAGTGAGTCTGGCGTTAGGACTGGTATTACATGAGAACATAACATACACTACAAGGCATGTACAGCACTGCTCCTCTCATCCCCGCCTCTTTCCTGATAGGAAGGTGGGGGCACCCCATCCATGCCATCCCCATCCCCTTCGCCCCACTGTTCTCCCCATCGTTTCACTTTTCCCTTCATTTCTCTAAACAAAACCAAATTCTAATGTATTTCCTTCGGAGAGTTGTCTCTACAGTGCCTTTCCTCCCATCCCTCTCCCCTTTACTGTTCATCTCTCGAAGTTGTAAAACTCAATGCAAACAAAGCGAGCGCTCAATAAAATGGAAAAGTTCTCCGTTTTCTTCACTTTATTTCTTCATATTTGTGGCAATCGTTTAAAGCTTTGATTTGTTTGAATGCAGATTCTTATGCATAGTGTTTGTCGGACAACATTACTCTCCAATGCCTACCAGTGCTCTCCATCACAGCATGTGTTGGAAAAGCAAGTTTGTAATGAATGGCCAATAAATAGATTGGGCTTAACATAGGGCTTAACATTATGTGAAAACTTGTCTCACAATTGCATTAAATATGTTCTTCACAACAGTTCATGAGCTGACAGTTTAGGCGCCGGACTCTCTCCAGGCGTCGAAACATAAGATTCTTTCGCTTTTTATTCGTTTACAATGCCTTCAAACTGATGGACGAGTTTGAGCTCACAATACACTCTCAAAAACTATTTAATTATTAAGCATATGATATACAGTATACATAACAAACAGTGTTAATGTGTGCACAACTCAAGTGTAAAACTAAGAAACTTATATTTATTCATTTTATTCAATATGTATTGACTTTTGGTATTGAAAAAACACTCTAACGATAAGTATAATAAAAGTTTATTGATTATTGAATTACTTTAAAGTTATATAAAAATACAAATATAGATATATGAAATATAGAAAAAGCAAAATAGCTTTCCATAAGAACTAGAAGTTTGCTTCAAAATTGAGAGAAAAGGCTTTCAAAATAAAGTAGAGATAATATAAAAATGTTTGTGAATAAGTTATAATATTTTGCATAAAATCTTTTTTGAGAGATAAATGCGAAGCCGGAGCTCATATTGCGGCCAAATATATGGGCTCTGATCTGAGAGAATGTTTTTGATGTCAAAAGAATATTTTCGATGATATATCGCATAAACATTTTCATAGAAAATAGAGAGAAAGAGAGATATTATGGGAAAATACGCTAAGAATAAGAAAATCGATTTAATATTTGTTTGGAGTTTTTGAGCACTTTTTCAATTTTCAAACTAAAAACGTCCGACGCTTTCGCATTCAAACGTCTGATAAATAGAAATTCATTAACAAATGTCTGAATACTTGATAAATTAATTCTCTTTTATCTATTAAAACCATAATATAGTCTATTATTCATACGAATCATAGACAGCTCGAGGGCAAGGATTTGGGATTTTTTATAAGAATTTAGCCGAAATCATAGGGGGCTTCAAATTCATCGTTTACCTCCATTTCACTTAATATCTATTTCTCATAATTTGTTTAATTAAAAAAATTGTGATATCAAGGCTTACTTGTAGCCCCCTATGTTTGGCGACTTTGTGCGGCAAAGCGTCGCTTAAATTAACACTAATAACTAGTTTCGCACAAAAAATATTTGATATTTTCTCAATTATTTGAGTGCAGCCAACGTACAAATGCCTGAAGGAATGTCTAAACAATATATTCCTGAATGTGTTTATGGGTTCAGACTTAAAGGGAAATTCTTATAAACACTTAAATTATGCAATAAAACACATACTATTTAACAGCAATAGCAGTGCTTTTCTCATTTATTTTGAAAATTACTTTTTTGGCAAAACATTTACTATAAAAAAGAGAAAGAGTTTAAGAGATTAGCAAAACGTTTGTGAAATTAAATGAAACGCATTTGTCATATAAAAGATATTTTATCGCTGATTACTATCGAGTCGTAAACATTAATCATTATATGTTGGGGTCGTCTCTGAGTCCCCGAAAGTCCGATCAATCCTAACGTTGAATAATATTAAGCATTGAATCGAGAATTGACTCGAAATGACACAAAAATGCCACAAAAGAGAGGGAATAAAATAGAAAGGCTTTGGAAAAGAAAATGAGATTTTGTTTTCCCAATATTGAAGACATACACGAGTTATATACAAATGTTTTCAATATTTTATGTCTTTATTTCTCTGAGGCTTTAAAAGATATTGACGTTCACGTCGTTATCGTTCTCTTATTGCTATTCTTCTACTTTTCTACCGCTTCTGCTTTTTGGCAAAACTTTTTGGCTGTTTATCGTATAATAACTCCAAACAAAAGTTGCAAAAATTAAATATATAAAGACTGGATATAAACACACAGCTCTCTCTCTCTCTCTCTCTCTCTCTCTCTCTCTCTCCCCTAATAGAAAATCTATATAATTTTAGTGCAGATAATATTCACAACAAAACACATTTAAGAATGAATTTAATGATGAATTGTATGGAGAATAGAGTTGAGTGCAAAGCAAACGCTAGATTTGTTTCTGAATCGAAGTTCACTTTTTTCAAGAAAAGATCCATTAATTTAAAAGTAATTTTGATGTTAGAGTAGAGACGGAAACAATTTATGAGCGAAAAAAGCGCAGAATAGAGGGATAGAGTAGTGGGTAATGTTGGGGAGAGTATGGAAGAGTAGGGAAGAGTAGCTCACAATCGCCTCTAACTGAAAATCGTTTGAAGAGAACGTATGATTATTTGTGTTATATTCATGGCTTTGGGCCACAAATCACTTTAGAGTTGCTTTTCGGACACTGTATGCGAGCGTTAATTATTGGAAGTGCTCTCAAAGTCTGTTAAACCCAAACATAAGCCTTTAAAGAGCGGGGGAATGGGTCAGAGAGTTAATTGTGCACAACATTCACTGTATTGTAATTGTCATACATTAAGACTCTATGTACTGGAATAACGTTAGCGTTGCTCCTAATTCTGGCGCTCATTCTGTGCTTCAATAAGTTTGTACACGAAAAGGGAGTCCTATGGCCTGAAATGGATGGACATTATTATCGGAGTTTGTAATCTTCAGTTTCACTGATGTTGTGTTGCCTAACATTTTATCTCATTGGCGATCGCAGCGTGTGATGTGTGCCCACAGTTTAGGCCAAACCTAGCATTTAGACAGACGTGTTCGTCCGAGAATGCATTGAAAGCGTATTCACAGAGTTATGAAAGCTATGATATGCTATAGAATTAAGTTCTGGAAATCAATTACCAAGTGATAAATTAGTAGCGCTTGGGATCAACAATAAAATGCTGTCATAATTCATCGCTTCTTACTGTATATAGGGATGAGATATACTGTGAGAGCATTTGATTAATAAAACGAGAGTTCATTAGAGTTTGCTATCAATTCTTTAATGATTCATCACTTGTATAAAAAGACGTACACATAGAATATGCATACAATAGACGTATAACATAAAATTCAATATTAATTAATAATTAAGCAAATAATACATTTATAATTCAAATATACAGATAAGACACTCAATAAAATTATTCGTATTTTAAAATAAAAACATTTTAAAGTTTTGATTTATTTAGAAAAACAAATATCTGTTAAACATTTCTTAAATAACATAATAATAATAATATAGTTTAAGATTCTGGTATGTGTTCGCACCGTATTATGAATTGCAAAATTTGTATAAAATTCGGTCATTTCTTAACCTAATATTCAATTCATTTCATAATTTATTTAATTTCTAAAATCATATAAAAACAATCTGTTGTTCACTGAAGGCAGGCCTGAATTTTTTCGACCCATTCCTGCGCCGTTTGACTGCTTTGTGCCATAAAATTATAGGTCCGACGAACTAATTTCAACTGAAAATTAAATAAGACATGAGATATAAGAATAAGACAACGAATCAGACAATCAAATGAACGCATAATTAATGACCAAAACAAAGAGAGAAACAACTAATGAATAGAAGACAATAAATCATTGCAACAAAAAGTGAGACTCGAGTCAAACAAAACAAAACTTTTCTCTTACGTCAAAGAACTGACAGTTGGGTTGAGTTGAGTTATAGCCCACAGACAATACTTCGCCCAAATCGATGAAACCCTTACAGTGCGGGTCGTCCGCAGAGTCGTAATATCTGAGCTATTATTGAGAAATACATACATCTATTAGATTAATGGCTCAATGAGTGGCTCACTCTCTGGTGGTGTGTACCTGATGTTTGGTGGAGTCCAAGACAAACCAACGCATTTTCCAGCCTTTCAGGAGCGCCCCCTTCTTATAGAGATACCCCTCGTAAGTGCGGTTCTCGGAGACCATTGTCGAGAAGTTGTTATAAAATGTATTCGAGTGCTGAAGAGTACCGCCGTTCTCATCGTTAGAGTCATGTCTTTGCTCGTCAACCACTTCATTGAGCACTTCATGTGTAGTACTCCTCTGCGAGACCGTCGATGAGCCCATTCCCGAGTCTTGATTGGCAGACATCTTTCGCTTTGGCTGACAGTTCTTTGTGACCATTTCGGCGCACTTCTCGTGACAATTGAATCCGCAATCAACGCATTTGAGACCAGTCTTGACGATACCCCACAACACGTGTCTGCAGTGATCGCATTGCGTGAGTGTCGTGTAGTTATACTTTTCAAACTTATGGTTCCGATTCATATAGAGTTGATTATCACAACTATTGGCTCCCATTCCGGCCATTTTGCCGCGAATTAACAGATCTATTGTCGACCGCTTGTGAGTACTGTAAGTCAGGGAACGACCGGATTGGCTACTAATCGATTCGTGAATATCGGTGTTCAATGGGATCTCGATTTTATCCCAAACGGTGAACCACTTCTGCGGCATATAATTGAGTTCCTCCTCAAGACTTCTGATGGAATTCAACATATTTTGGAAACAGTTTGGCTCGGAATGGATGACTGAGTCGTAAAAGGCGCTGATATTGTTTCTGTTGGTTTTGTCGGAGTCACTGGTAGTCGCTTCGAGCACTTCCAGTCTCTGGTGCTCCATATCAACCACTTCGAGGTCATAACTGGGGCCGTGAGCTAACTCTTCGCTCACGAAATAGTCCCACAGTTTGAGTGAAGAGATGCAAAACGAGGGCCGAATGACAGCCGCGTCGCTACTCATGCCCTCCTGACTGATGATCGGAACGTAATAAAAGTTGAAGAAAACCGATGATTTGGACCACAGTTTGGTCGCGTATTCCCAGAACGAGGTTCCGATGTAATTGAAGTTCTGATTACTTGAAGTGAGGGTCGATTTATTGGCACCACTTCTCAGCTGCTGCTCCTCCTCGTCATCGGAGGACAACTCGTCGTGTTTTGGCGAATGACTGCACTTCACGTCTTCACTAATCCAACCGACTTCTGAACGCTCGCTCTCGCAGTCCAGAAGGAATGTCCGGAAACGACACGACACGTAATGATAGGCCAGGAATTTGAGGTAATATTGATTAAACTCAAAGGACAGCGGGAACTGACTGTGAATTTGATGCACAATATCGAGGAATTGTAAGAAAATGGGTGCAAATCCAGAGGAGAGAGTGGCGGCCGTGTGATTGGAGCGATGGCTGAATCGGTGGCCGAATGCCAGCCATTCCTTCTCTATTAAAGTGCGAAAGCCTTCGAATGTGCGGTAATAGGGGTCGAGACATAACTGGGCGACGGAAACAATTTGTGGCACAAAATCCCAGCCGTCTTCGAGACACACCATAACAGACGAGCCCTGGATGTCAATGAGATCGACGATAGCACCACTGATTTGCATAATGGTATGCATTTGTGTCAACCACTCAGAGTTCTCGAAGAGCCGATGAAATGACTGCTCGGGATCTGCACTGTTGGGAGCCGTGGAGGGAAGGCAGGCGCGCATCAGTTTCTTGAAGCTGGTCTTCACGGCCCGCACTTCATGGAAGTCGACGGGAATGAAATCACAATTACTGAACGATTCGGTCTTTATTTTATTGATCTGATTCTTCTCCCCGAAGATGTAAAGAACGGCTCGATTTAGATTTGGCTGCGAATCAGACGAGGAAGAAGTGGGAGAATCTGTCGGATAACTGATTCGATGCTTATCTTTAAGGGAAGTGTTGGACCACTTCTGCAACTGTTTTCCCATTTGGGAACCAATGGCTGATTTTCCGCCAGAATTCCTCAATGTATTCATCGCGCGATGGAATGCGGCAGAAGTGCCGCCACTTAACGCTCGTCGAGTGGTTTCAGGTGTTGTCGCTGTTATGTCGCGAGGATTTAGAATTGAGTTCACACTAAGAGTGGATCCGTTCTCCAGAATTCGGTTTTGATGTCTTGTAAAGCAAGATGGCGTCACCCTTACGATCCCGGATATAAACTTCTCGTTCTCTATATTAGTTGACGTCTCGGAAGAGGTGGAGTGAACGCCGGCGCCGGCAGACGTCTGTCCCTTTAATAAGCCAATGACACCCTTGCCGTGAAAACAACTGCCTCTGAGTAGCAGTGCCTTAGTTCGCGGGTGTTTCCATGTAATGGCTGGGAAACGATAGTGTCTGTAGAAACGGCTGAGCCGTCTAATGGCTTCATCACTGGTACTGTATGGCACCACAACCAGTCCCGGGTAGCTCTTTGTCACCGAATAGTTGGCATTCACTGCAGAGATACGGAAACTCTCGATCACTGTATTAGATCGCGAGAGCTTTGTTGTGGAAGCGGACGAACTGTAATAACTGGCGATTGATCCCAAACCTAGTCTCTGGTAGTCCTTAACGTAAGACAGTTCTTGCAATTTATCCAAAGTTTTGCTGTCGTTATTGGCGTTCAAGTGATTCAATAGGATGTGTGGCGCCGGCGATGATATGGTGTTCGATGAGTGAATACTTTGAAGCGATTCCGAGTCCATTGACTTCTTATCTTCAATTATATCAATAGACATATTCCTCGTGGGAGACATGGTTTTGGCCATTCCTGGGATGAATCCCGACGCGTCGGTAATGTATTTGTTTTTGCGATTACTCTTTGGCTTAAATCCGGCTCTTTGTGCGGTCCTCAACAGTGTCTTCTTAGCCATGCCTTTGAAGGTCGAGTTCTTCTCCTTATGCTTCTGAAGGTGCAGAAGCCTGGTCTGAGTCATACTGAGTTGTGATGTGAATGTAAACAAATGGAAAATAGTGGGCGGAGTTCGCTCGCGATTAATACATTTCCTGAAGTTCTCGATCTCATCCGATGAGACCTCTTCATCGAACGCCACGCGAATCAACTGAAAGGTATTCGATGGTACTGTATGGCACCACAACCAGTCCCGGGTAGCTCTTTGTCACCGAATAGTTGGCATTCACTGCAGAGATACGGAAACTCTCGATCACTGTATTAGATCGCGAGAGCTTTGTTGTGGAAGCGGATGAACTGTAATAACTAGCGATTGATCCCAACCCTAGTCTCTGGTAGTCCTTAACGTAAGACAGTTCTTGCAATTTATCCAAAGTTTTGCTGTCGTTATTGGCGTTCAAGTGATTCAATAGGATGTGTGGCGCCGGCGATGATATGGTGTTCGATGAATGAATACTTTGAAGCGATTCCGAGTCCATTGACTTCTTATCTTCTATTATATCAATAGACATATTCCTCGTGGGAGACATGGTTTTGGCCATTCCTGGGATAAATCCCGACGCGTCGGTAATGTATTTGTTTTTGCGATTACTCTTTGGCTTAAATCCGGCTCTTTGTGCGGTCCTCAACAGTGTCTTCTTAGCCATGCCTTTGAACGTCGAGTTCTTCTCCTTATGCTTCTGAAGGTGCAGAAGCCTGGTCTGAGTCATACTGAGCTGTGACGTGAATGTAAACAAATGGAAAATAGTGGGCGGAGTTCGCTCGCGATTAATACATTTCCTGAAGTTCTCGATCTCATCCGATGAGACCTCTTCATCGAACGCCACGCGAATCAACTGAAAGGTATTCGACCGGAGCTGAAGACCTTCCTGTAAGAACTGGTCGATCGATGCAATCGATTGAACGCTAATTCGTTTCTCTTTAGTGAGGGTTGCGATCGGAAAACTGCGGACAACAACCGATTCCGAGGCAAACGGATCGCACGGACGGCCTTTGAATACAATTCGATAGTTTGTCACAAATATAGCGCCTTCGGTGGGCACGAGTTGCGTCCCAAACGGCACTCCGCACTGACCCTCATCTCGACCATCGTGTATGAGATAAGAGCGAAGCCCCGGGAGTGTGAGTTCCTCTCCGACCAGCAGATTAGGTGTCGTGATCTTTGGTTTCGTAATGGGAGGCAAACGTTTACTTTCGCGCCAAACGTCCCCAAGTGTTTCCATATGCATGGCTACCAATTGGGGAATCGCTTGATGTAATTGTTTGATGAAATCCTCTTTAACACTGCTTTCAGTAAATACTTTATCGACAAAACGCGTCACAAACTTAATCACATTTGCGCCGATCTCTGAATGGTTGACGTTATGTGTCTGATGATTGTCTTCTTCGAAACCGGATTCGTTGTCATTATTGTTGGAACCGTTAGAACCGCTTCCATCGTATGCATAAGAACTCGTTAAGTTTGAGACCGAATTGTTATCACTTTCTGACGATTTCAACGGCTTGTGAACGCCGGCGTCCAAAGGCATTCTCAATGCGATTATTCTGTTCGCATAGTGCATGGCCTGAGCGAAGACCGTCTGGTTTTCATTGATATTCAACTCGTCACTCACTTCTGGAGTCAACTGTGGACTTAACCTCATCTGCTCGGCCGCGATCTCCAGAGCAGATAATTCTAGAGGTTGTGGCAAATGTGACACTCGTTTCGATTCAATCATACTATCTCTGGAACTATCTCTGGAGAAGTCCATCGAATCTTCTGGAGATATCTGTTGACTATTCGGGTCTTTGTATAGATTCCTAATATCTTTCTCGACGTCCAAATAGAAGGTCTGTTCCCAGAACTGCGGGTTAGACCAAACGGCGTGGTCTTGAATGCAAGTGAAAGCAAATTGAGTGATATTTGTGCACAGCTTTCGACAGAAGGCCATCGCCAGCGGCAACATATTAGCCGCCACTCCGTTCACATCGAGATGCGAGTCGTCCTGAAGAGCGCAGTTCATGAGCCGTACGATAAGGTCGAACTGCTGGTGCTCTAACACAGCCTTATTGCCCGACACGTGAAACGCCAACTCCTGACAGAGAGCCAACCGAGCGTTTTTCGTCTTCAACGCACGCAAAACGGCTGGAAATGTCTTCTTGGCGTCCGATATCTTGTTCTCGAAAATACAATTAATACAATTTCGCATCACTTCCAGTCTTCGCGCAGAGTTTGTGATGATATCATTGGCACCGAATATATCATTGACTTTAGAGATGGAGGTTCCCATCGGCACTATTCGGACGTTCATATTCTTATTGCTAAGACGTCTAGTGATTGTCATCTCTTTCTTGATCTGTTCGTTGTCTACCATTTCCTGAACCTTCTCCGCACTCAATGTGGGAAATGGAGGCAAATGTATGCGAGTGAAGGCCCCGTCCGTCGGTAGAGGAAACTTAGAGGTCTGTGACTGAGGGTTCGGGTTCTCATTGGCGTAGAACTGTTGCGCTAAGTCTCTGATGTGTTGTATCACTAAATCAGGATTTCTTAGCTCTTCTTTAAACAAATTTTGAAGCGTTGAATACAACTGAAGAAAACAATTCACAATCAATCGCTTGTATTAACAATGAAAACAATATATTACTTCATCGAAAAGATCGCATTGTCTGTACGGAAGACCCCTTTCCTGAACAAACGACACGAAGAACATGCAGTCGAGTAAACGGACCACAAACTCACTCTCAACTAAATTTCTTTGGCCCAGAAATGAAGCCTGAAATGGGGTTTAATAAGAAAATAGTTACTCAAAACCAGTAGTCAATTAAAACAATGAATTACTTTATGAAACGTAATGATTGGTTTGGGATGAATGCGTGTAATCGTGAGACAGGATCGGTAGCCCTGAAGTAATTGAGTGAATGTTCGCAGGAATATGGCTCTGATTTCTTTGTCCTGAAATGAATGACAATTTGAATAAATATAGCAAAAGATGAACACAAGTATAGAATAGATTACTAAGAACTGAGGGGTCGATGGCTTGTAAAGACTAGAGGGGAAGGCGTCGTCCGCTTGTATGAGTTGCGGACGAATTACTTGACATAAATGAGTAATTAATTGAGAATAAAGGGGTTCATCAAAACGAGGCACTCGTAGGCAATCCGGTATAGTCACTGAACCCCCGTCTAAGTCCACTACTATTACGTCCAACTGTGAGACAAACACAGAATGATTAGTTGAATGAATGGAAAGCAAATCATTTGAAATTCATTACAAGATCTGTGACTTCATTCTTGAGTGATGAGTGAATGCCCATCAGAAATGGTGTGGGAGTTGACAGCACTTCCAAGAGAGGGGATGGGAGGATAGGGATGTAGATGTGACAGTAGACGAAGGGATACATGAGAGCTGTTAGCGCCAGACAGGCATCCGATAGGCGAGAGAAAGAGCGCGAATGGAAGAGAATCTTGTGTTCAGTAGTGGCCGCACAGACCAGATTCACCACTGAATGGATGCCCAACTGCTCGAACAGGTTGTAAACTGTCGTTTCCGTCACAGGAATGGTAGGGCTTAGAGGCGGCTGAAGGAACTGGCGATCGTTAGCACCGATTGAGAATCGTATCTGTGGTCCGCCTGAATGTGAGATCAATTGTTTGGTTGTTATGATTGCCATTCAACACATGTATGACTACATACCAGGCGGTGGGATATCAACGCACGCGAGGATATTGCTTACTATCACTTCCAACGACACGTCCATATTCTCGATATAAACCGTGTATATGATTGTGAGGCAGTTCTGTGGCAATAATCAGATGATGTATCCAATTATGGCGATTGCATTGCAATGAGAAATGACATACTTTTAAGGCTTCCCTATAGTTGTGCTGCGAGACCAGAACCAGACATTTGGTGGAATACATGATGGAGTGGTGTTGAGCACCGGTAGTGCATAAGGCGGTCGTTGAGCCGTCCATCGATGTGATGGACTCGTCGTCGATGTCATCGTCGTC